GGTGCCCAGATTCCCGGTGAGTCCTCACTAGGCAGGGACACGACACGTGGCTGAGGCAGTTGACAGATCGGATTTTGAGTGGCTGTAGGCTACTACCTTTTTGGAGTGTTTGATGTATTTTAGTATTTTCGCATTTGATGGATCATGATATTGATCCTTTATTTTGTATATGGCCTGTATATGTTTTGTACACGTCTGTCGCTTTGATGCATGTACATTTGGGTATTCAGGCACGTTATGTGATGAGGTAGTATTCAGATATGTTTACGTGTTGGATTGCATGCTGTTAGATATAGTGGCACTGAGCCAAGTTATGCATGCGCCCATGGATGGGCATTTGATTATATTTGTATAAACTGTTTATCAGGAAATGCTTCTGTGTGGGATTGGAAAATCCCCAGTTGTCCGATTTATAGAGGAAACTCTGCCCGATTTTCGTTTACGACGAATGAGAATTTAAAAAGAAAAAGAAAAAAGTTAGCTCGTATTTTCAGAAGTTAAGTCTTCCGCTGTTTTCTGTTTTATCATATGTATGTTAATTAAACCGGCTCGAGACGGGGATGTTACACGCTCTCTCTCATACAAGAGTTCATTGACTTTGAAGGATTAATATACTCACCTACCTAAGCGGAGAAATTTCACAATTAAATATTTATTAAAAAATGGGAGAGAATCGAACTCGTGACCACCTAGTGACAAGGCTATCTAATATGATATAATGAATCAATTCAACCCAATAACTTAAATTTGTATGTGTCCAAGTGTTTGATTTGCCAGAAGATGAAGATAGAACACCAGAAGCCGTCTAGTAAACTTCAACCTCTAGAGATCCCGAAATGGAAATGAGAGAGCTTTCCATGGACTTCGTGGTGGGTTTACCGAAGACTCAGGTTGGCTGCGACTTTATCTGGGTCATTATGGACGGACTGACAAAGTCTGCCCATTTTCTTCCAGTGAAGGTGAGCTTCATTACTGAGCAGTTGGCCAAATTGTATGTTCGCGAGATTGTGAGGCTTCACGGGGTGGCCGAGAGTATCATCAGTGATAGGGACCCCCGAAGTTCACATCTCGGTTCTGGGAGGCGCTGCAGGAAGCTTTCGGTACGCAGTTGAGATTGAGTACCGCCTATCACCCTCAGACTGACGGACAGACTGAGCGGACCATCCAGACCTTAGAGGACATGTTGAAAGCTTGCACTTTGGAGCAGGGTTCAGCATGGGATAAGTACCTGCCATTGGTGGAGTTTTCGTACAACAACAGTTTCCATGCTAGCCTGGGCATGGTACCCTACGAGGCGTTGTATGGTAGGAGGTGTCGGACTCCTACCTGTTGGTCTGAGGTTGGAGATAAGGAGTTGTTTGGCTTGAACTTTATCCAAGATACCACCCAGCAGATACAGATGATCCGAGAGAAGCTGAAGCAGGCACAGAATCACCAGAAGAGCTATTACGATGTCAAACATCGTCAACTGGAGTTCAGTGAGGGTGAGCACATGTTCGTGAGACTCTCACCTGTCACCGGTGTTGGTCAAGCCCTCGGAGTGAGGAAGTTGAGTCCGAGATTCATTGGGCCATACCAAATCCTTGGTAGAGTAGGACTAGTTGCCTACCGGCTTGCCTTGCCTCCGAACTTGGCCAACATCCATGACGTGTTTCACGTGTCTCAGCTTCGGAAGTACATAGCAGATCCTTCACACGTGGTGCAACTGGATGATGTGGATGTTCAGGAGAACTTGAAAACTCCCATCGGACCACTCAAGATTCTTGATCGTGGCGAGAAGAAGTTGAGGAGCAGGATCATTCCGATGGTCAAAGTGCAATGGTCGGGAAGAACTTCTGAGGAGTGTACTTGGGAGCGAGAGGACGAGCTTCTCCGGCAGTATCCCAACTTCCGAGACAAGTATGTTTCTGATTTTGAGGACAAAATCCTAAAAAGGTAGGGTAAATGTAAGAACACACACCGTTAATTAAGGAAGTTAATTAATTAATTATGAGAAATTAGGAAATAATTCCATAATTGACCCTAATAATTATGAGAAGGCTTAATTAATTATAGAAAGTAATTAATAATGTTGAAAGTCGCTTTTGTGATGAAAAGTGCAGATATCGGTTCTGCTACTCGGTATAAATGTGTACCAATGAAGTATCCTGGAAAATTATAATAAGTATGAGAATATTGCTAGAATAATATATGGGATTGGTCAAACGAGTTTCAAGTCGAAATAATGAGAACTGGTGCCAGAACTGATACTGGCTATGTAAAAGCGCCTACCGAAAAGGTTATGCGAAAAATAAAATAAAAATATGATAAATCTTAAAAAAAATGAGTAGGTTCAGAATCCTAACTTTGGGATTAAAATTCTAAGCGTAGCTATTAGCACTAATATAGTGCGATCAAGCCTTAAGTGGACTATTTACGGGCATGGCACACACTTCTAGGTCAGATTCTTGTGCCTCCTACGTGTAGTTTCTGAAGGAGCTCTGCCACCTTCTTCCATGACCTCCCTTGCATGAAAAACTCTCCAAGTTACCTTTTTTTCCTAGATTTCTTCATCTTTAAACTAGTATACACTTGAGAGCTAACATTGTGAGGAGGTGTGGGTGCATATTCTGAGTCTTCCAGCCACTGTTTTGGTGAGGGGTGGGCTGAGCTTCCTTGTCTTGAGTTGTTGGAGCCTTTTCTTGGTTGTAGAAGCTCCAAGTGACTACCTTTGTGAAGAATGAACCAACCTTTGGTGTGCCATTTTCGTTTGCCTTGCAAGTCAGAACTTGAGGAGCTGTTGTGAGAGCTCCAAGAGCCATTGTTGATCTGTTTTAAGCTTGGGTAAGCTTCATCACCTTGATCATGAGTTTTAATGATTAAAAGTGGAGTCTTGGCATGTTTAATGAGTTGTTTAAGTAACCAACCAGTTTATGAACCTAAGTGTGGGCTTAAAGATGCATGCTTTAACGTTTAGAAGAGTTAAAAATGGAACCCTGAGAGTGATATCTCGCGAAATACAGAAACTGCATTCTGTCGCGAAATATCCGGATATGGGCTCTGTATATATCCGAATATGGATATCCGGATATGCATATCCGAAGATGATATCCGGATATGGATATCCGGATATGGCCCCGACATATATCCAGATATTTTGGGTTTTCGAGAACAGTAACAGTACTGTTCATACAGAACTGAGTTATGAGTTTGTGTATCCTAGATTGATGAAGTTGAACTTCTGTATTACTTAATCTAAGTCAGAACCTAAGTGGTTAATGGCTGATGGCTTTGTGAGAAGCCTAAAGACATAAAACGTAAAGGAAAAGTGTTGTCTTTATGTCTTATACTTATTGTGTTTGAATATTGATTTGATTGCTGGTCCAAAACAGATTATGATTCTGCTGTGTGTGGACTTTGAGTTTGTGTGGACTCTTGGCTTGGATAGTTAGCTTGCAAGGTAAGCTTTCGTGTCCTCGGTTTAGCCATTGTTGGTTCCACCATGTCCCATGGGGGATGGTTTATATGCATGATGTGTTTTCATGTATTGTTTTATTGAAATGTTAATTAGTTGTTAAGTGCAAATGCCTTATGATATGTATGTGGTGTTCGCCTAGACGAGATGTGATCCTGTGGGCAGGTACGACATGGGCGCGTACTGTGTGGATAATTGACGTATTCCTGCATTTCTCTGGCCAGTAGATTAGTTATAACACACATGACATGATTATCTGCTGCATTGCACTGTTTTGGAACTTATATTGTTTAACTGCTTTTGGAACTTATATTGCACTTGTAAGTGAGCTTGGGGTGAAAGATCCTTGAGGACCCCTTGCCTTACTGAGATTTCTGTTTAGAGATCTCACCCCACGTTTGGGGGCGCTTATTTCAGGTTCAGGTAACCCAGGGGTTGAGACCTCTAGCGGCAGGAGGCCATAGCTTAGTTGATTGATGTTTATCTGCTTATGCTGACTATGCTTGGATGCTGGATTATGTCTGTTGATATTATGCTATTAGCTTTATTTTTGGATTGTTGAGATGATACTCTGTTGGTTATGTTGTTCTATTTGGTGAGCATGGGGATTGTCCATGCCACATTTGATTATGTATCGTTTGCTTAGACTGGGGTTGTATAAACTATCAGGATATTGTCCAGATTACGTGTTGTAGATCCGTGACTTAGATGCTCACACTTATTTGTCTATTGAGGTATTTCAGTTAGCTGTCTTTTGCAATTTACATACATGCAATGTTTTTATGAAAATGATTAAGTAATCAACTTGGCTAATTATAATACGTCATAATTGAAAAGAAAAAGATATTCCGCATTTATTAATTAAGCGTGGCTTAATACGATGACATGTTAACAAACCGGGTATACATGGGGTGTTACAGACTGAATATCTTTATTATTTGTAAACATTTATTTCCTTATTTTATTAGGATTTAGGTTAGGTATGGACTAAGTTCATTAGTGTTTCTTTAGATATTGTACTCTCCTGAATAATTCAATATACATATTTATTTCATTGTTCCTCTCGTCTATTAGTTCTTTACATGGTATCACAGCCTAGTGTCCCGGGTTCGATTCTCGCCGCCCCTCATTTTGTGTGTGGAATATTTTAGCATATGTAAGTTGGGCATGATGCATCATCCACCTTTCAAGCCCATTGGACTCTCTTTGAGGGACATGTTAGAGTATAATATAAATCATTAAATTAAGCTATAAGTTGAATTGGTTCTTTACATACACCCCTCTAACAACAAAGTCCGACACAATGCAATTTTCATGCAAAATTTTATGGGGTTTGCATTTATCATTTAACATGACACAAGAAAGTTTCCTACACACACAACATTTCATGGGGCCCACACTTTTTGAAGCAAAAAAAAAAAAACTACGACACGCAAAACAAATCTCATACAACTCAATTTTTATAAAACTCTTATAAAAATTGTTGCACTGAAATGTAACTCTTATAAAACTCAATTTTTATACGTTAAATGTATGTGGTACGTACCTCTTCGACCCTGAAATGAGATTGTTGCACTGAAAAAGGGAGTTTACTATCTGGAAGCCTTTCGTGGCTACTTGAGGATACAGTGCTGAATAAATTCAATTTTGCACACCCAGAAACATCTATTTTTCTCATAGATGGACATGCTAAAGTATGATTTCCAGCATAGAAACCCTTGAGTTTCGGTAAGCTCCAAAGCAATAAAGTATTTAGTTCATTAAACTCAAATGTGAGAGTTGTCAACATGGATCCTTCCTTCTCTGCAACAATTTCCTTCATGTTCCCACACCGCTTCACAGAAAGTTCTTTGAGATTTGAGCAGTGAGTGGCAAGAGAAAGTGGAAATAGATAGTCCAATCTTCCACAACTTGTTACATATACGTTTTCTAGATTACGGAAACTAAGAATTCCTTGAGGATCCCTACTCCATGTCCTTCTCAGCTTTGGCAAGTTTTCTAAAAAAATTGTTTTGAGGTGTGTTGTATCCTCTATACAGCTCTTTTCATTGGAAGTAATTTCGAATATCTCTTCCACTAAAGCACAATCTGTAACCTCTAACAACTCTAAAATATGGTATGTTTTTTGAATTGAAGAAGGAAAAACCACTACAATTTTCTCACAGTTTTTAACTTGTAATGTCTTCACTGTGTCAAATTGGTGATGCCATATCATCTCCAAGTTTTCCATGTCCTTCAATATGATTGTCTCCAATTTGGAAAATCGAACCTGTGATTCACAATTTATGAAATCATAAATAATTAGCTTGTTTCATGATAAATATTGATCTAAATGCAAGTTCAGAATTGTAATATTGTTCCTAATGTTAGAATTACCATACCTCATTTACTGAAGTAGTTATTCCATTGTTTCTCTTTGCATCATCACTAGAAATTATCTCATCCATCAAATGACATTTATTAATTTCAAGCCGTTTGAGATTCATAAAATTTCCAACCATTGCGGTCGAGAATAAGTACTTCAGCCCACCACAATTCTCCACAATCAAGTTTGACAATTTGGAAACAGAAGGTTGATTGTCATCCCAAATTTTGCTCAAATTGAGTGAGCTCAACTTAAGGGTATCCAAATTAGGTAATGCAACCTACACAGAAACAAGTTAACAAAAATTGTATTTGAAGGGTTATAGTGATAGCTATGATAAGCATTATCCACTCCAAAATCTATTTTTTTGGCATTTTATAGTGTTAGGCCCATAGTTAATCATAAAAAACAGATCAAACAATTGCATTAACTACTTCTTATAGATATTAAAGTTTTACGTATCAAATTTAAAAGGAAATAAATGCACATAGATACTTCATACTTTTAAATCTTGATGAGAAATCCTTAAACCTCCTGAAACCCACAAATCAATCAATAATGCCGTTCACAAGTTAAGAGAAAATCATTTATCATGTAAATTGTTCACGTTGAATGATACATATGGTAGTCTCTCAACCTTGTTAATTTTCTATGAAAAATAATTGTTCGTATCATTTTTAAAATCGAATTATATTTTACTATTATTATTATTATTATTATTTATCAAGAATCAATTTCATTACTTTAAGTAACAGAATTAAACTATTATACTATAATGTATTGAATCTATGCCGCTCGTCCTTCTGGTCTTTTTATTTTTCAGAGATGTGTTTTTATTAATATTCAAATTTATATTTCACTGATTAAAAGGTTAATAATCAAATATTCTTGTTCCAAATATTTTACATCCTTTTAAGATTTTAGCTAGTGACATTTATGAAGATATTTTACCTCCTTAATTTCTACTCGCTTAAATGTCTATATAATTACATGTCCTAACATATCAATTTGTCAACAAACTAGTCTATATGTGAGATTGTGCATGTCATAAATTTAAAATATTATTATTATTTGCATTGAAATAAGAATAAGAGCAAAAGAACATACCTGAGAACTAAAAAACGGGACAAGAATACTAGTCTCCAACCGTTGATGCTTGGTTACGGAGGACGTCAACTCATAAGAGAAGAAATTGTCAAGATTCTGCAAATGCTGCAAGGTCAAAGAACGCACGGGAAGAAACTCAATCTTATCGTTTACTGTACTTGCATTGCAATCTTCAAGCACTATCTTCCTCATATTATTGCATTGACAAACTTCAATCTCCAAAAGTTGAGAAAGCCCTTTAACCATTGAAAAGGAGAAAAGATATTCTAATTGGATACAATTTTGAACTTTGATGACTCTAAGCTTGCCAAAAGAATCAATTGCAAGAGGGCCATTATATATCTTCTCCAAGTTTTTCAGATTGTGAAGGACTAGGGTTTCCAAGTTGAGAAACGAAACCTGGACTTGATTTCTACCCGTAGAGTCGACAATGTGCTTTATGTTTGCATTATTTTGGATGTGGAGATGCTTCAACAATGGAAATCCTTCCCTATTCAACTGATAAAGCACATTTGAAATTCCATCTACTTCATCCAAGTGCAAATTCTCGACCCTTTGAATCAATGCTTTAATCGCATGCTCCGTATGTATGTCGGTATCAAGTTTGAGCTTCAATGTATTCAGGGTCACATCCTCATTGTCAGACCATTCCCACATATCTCCTATAACTATTTTATATCTTTCTAGCTTATGAAACATCAAGTCCTTTGGCCAAATCTCAGCCTCAGGAATTTGTAATTCTAAAGCAGTTAAGTTGGGCAATTTTCGAAGCTCGGCCAGGCTGACACTTTCATTTTGCTTAGCTGAATTCTCAACCTCCCACTTAATGGAGGTGTTGCCCATATACAACTCCTCCAATTTAGTCAAGCTTGATATGATGTTAGGTGGGAAGAATTCAATTCCAGAATGGCTCAAATCAAGCATTATTAGATTAGTCAATTTCCCTATTTCACTTGGCAATTTGATCATAGAAGAGTAACTAATGGAGAGAATTTTTAAATTTTCCAAAGCTCCTATTTCTTCCATATTTTCCAGAACACATTGATCCAAACACAAGGTTTGAAGTTTAGTTAAGGACCGAAAAGAAGTGGGTAATGAAGACAAGTTAAAGCGTGTTACATCTAATGCTTTGAGGCTTTCCATTCCCTGAAAAATAGTATTTGGGATTTCTAAAAAGCGATCAGCACTATACAAGTAAAAAAGCTTCACATTAGGACAATCTAACTTTTGAGGAAGCTCAAGGATATGACACATATTTAAGATGATTTGCTGGCACCTTTCTAGAAAATTCTTTGTTGGCCATTCCTTCAACTCAGTATTCGGTTGCACCACAAATACACTTTGATCTCTAATAGCTATGGAGTTAGCTACTTCACGAACAAGGTCATGTATTTGGATATGCTCATGCGTGTCATCTTCGAGCAACAAACAAGATGCCTTCAAGGATCCAATTATTTTGTAAAGTCTGTCTCTAGCATTTTTCACAATATTTATATTCTTGAATATGCCCAAACCCATTGAAATTTTCAATAAATACTCTACACTATTCCCAGATCCCAACACAGCAGTAAGCAAAAGGATTGCCCGCATTTCATCACTCTCTAATGATTTGTAACTCAATTCCAAAGCAGAATAAGTTATTGCATCCATCCCCTCATGATCAACACTTTCTAATTGCCTTAATGCATCATTCCAAGCATGAATATTCTTATTTTTCAATGCCCGAGCTACAGTCACTAGCCGAAGAGGCAAACCTGCACATTTTTCAGCCACTTGAGTTGCCACATTTTGCAAATTGATATCCTTAACCACATTCCCAGCCATAGTTTGAAACAAGCTCCATGTTTCTGCTTCATTCAAAACTTCAAGTTTAAAATCCCTTCGAGCATCCATCTCCAGAAACATATCCTGATTCCTGGAGGTCAACAGTAGTTTGCAAGCATTGTGTTCATCCCCAGATGGAACTCCCACTTTCTCCAAATCAAGTTTTGTCCATATATCATCAAGAACGACAAGAATAGTTTTCTCTGCTATAATTCTCTGCTTTAGGCGCGATGCTCTACCAACAACAGTCTCCTCATTAAACCGCAGACCCAACAAATCTGCAATCTCCCCTTGAATTGTTTTCAGGTCTGGAGTTTTGGATACATTTGCCATAACTACTGCATCAAACAATTGTATTTGCTTAGCTATTTGAGCAATTTGCTTCACCATGTGGGTCTTACCCATACCGCCCAACCCATAGACCCCAATGTTGCGTACTGCAGGATCTCTTAAAGCATGCATAATTCGCTCCTTAATTGACTCCCTTGTATCAAGTTTGTCACTACCAACTGTGCCAGAAGATGAGGCTACTCCATCTAGGGGAGGAAGGTAACCAACTCGATCGAACTTCCCTTCTTCCTGCACTTTAACAACATCTTTTGCCCTCTTTGTAGCTTTCATGCTAAGTTGATGTCGAAAACACAAATTGGGGAACAACCACTCAGAGCACCCAATGTTTGCACGATGAGGATCTTCCTTAAGCTTATTTGCCTCTTCAATAACCTCATTCACATTCTCCAACCAGTTCAGCACATCATTTTCAATTTTTTTTCCGTTCCTTTTTTCTTCATCAATCAAATGGTTCATTCTTTCTCTTGCATCCTCAAGCTTCTTAACATTATCTTCTAGCTTCTGGTAATTGCCTTCATAGGATATCAAATAACCTGCATGCTCTATAATAGACGCAGCTCCTACTTTACCAACAACGGACATGAGAAGATTTAGAAAATCCATTGCTTCTTTTGTCCCCTCTCTTCCTATGATTTGAGTCTATATATAAGCAACAAACATTATTTTTTATGAGGATGAGATGTGGGAAACATTTCGAAAGCAAATGCTGAAAGCACATTATCTTGATGTAAACATTGCACATGAATTAAAATTTTTAGAGGATACAATATAATTAAAAGCAAAAAGAAAGATGAAATTACGAAAAAAATGCAAATTCAGCTGCTAAATAATTTTATGTTCACCCTAAGTGTAATAGGGTATCCAAAATCAATCAATTTTACCAAAAGATGTGATTTGGTTCATTTTAATTAATAAAAGATTTTTTTTCTAAAATGGACTAATTCAATCAAAGCAATAAAGCTAATAATCATGCTCATCCAGAAAATAAACCAGATAAAAAGAAAGGTGTGACAAAGAAATAAATCAAAAATGGAAATTTACAATTTTATTAATTTTGATATATATTATATATATATATATATACATATATATATAGATATATTGTTTTCATTTTTTTATTATATCAATTTGACTTATTTATTATGGACGGGTAAAGATTAAATGTTGACAAAACATACTAAACAAAAAGTTGGAAATCACTATAAATATATAAGCGTACATTGATCCACATTGTTAGGGGTGCTAAACAAACCAGGAGCCTTTGGCTCGGCTCGTGAAGACTTGAGCTTATATGTATAAAATTGGTTGTTGGCACCAGGCTTGAACTTGTATAAAAGCTCGTTTAATAAAAAGGTCTTAAGCTCCAATTCAAAAGCTCGGCCTTAGAGCCTTTTAGGCTGGCCTTGTATATTATTATTTTTTTTATTTTATATTTTTTATACTACTCATAATAGCCATCTCTTTCTCCTCAATCCATTTCACCCTATTTTATTGGTTAAACAGACTTTTTGAATGATTATGTTCTATATTATGCTGTTTGGATATACATTAAATTTATGAATATTTATGAAATTAATAGTGTTGTTGATTGTATATTCTATTTGACTAAATTTTTGTTTTCTTACTTTTTTTAAACAGGCTAAACCAGACTTTTATTTTTTTTAAATAAGTCAGGCCACAGGCCGATAATTATATTTATAACAGGTAACATGCTTGATTAGGCTGACACATTTAAACACAGGCTTAGTCTTTTAAGACCAAAGCTCGGCTCGGCCCGTTAACACCTCTACACATCGTGCTAGAAGAAATTAAATATAATTCTATTTGAAAATAATTACAAAACAATACAAATGAGAAACTAGTGGCTGCAATTAATAAATACCAGCGGTAGAGAAAACCTCTTTAAAATTGACAGTTTTTATAATACAACTTATGAATAATTGTTGAACATTTCAATCACATTAACTTAATGAAAATGATAAAGCAATAGCCACTATTAGTGGTAGATAAAGGCATCCTAAAAATGAAAAAATTTATAATGCGACAAATAAATAATTTTCAAATTATGATAAGGGGAAAATGACAGCCAACTAATTAAAAATTGTCATTTGTCTCATTTCTTTGAGTTGAATATCCTGATTACATTATAAATTGTTAATCATTTCAAAATAAATTTGCGATTATGATTATATATTGAAAAAAAATGATTTGCACACCAATCATGTGAAATCAACAAAAGATTTATATTTTAAAGTTAATTTGCAAATTATAATAACTTTAATGTACAAAATGTATCTCAAAAATAAATAAAATCAAGGATAAATAAACATATATTCATTAATAAGTTCACAATATTTTCGAGTAAAGTGAAAATTAAACACAGGATATGAACTAAAATTTGTATAGTTGTTATCAAAAAAAAAAAAAAAAAAAATTTATAGTTAAAAGTAAAAATGGGAAGACGAAACTATAAAAAAAAATACAATTTCGCTTACAAAAGATATTTATGCTCACCGTATCCTGTAAGTGAAATAGAAAATTTAAAATCATGCATTTTTTTAAAAACCTGTAATTCAAATTTTGTTTTTCGTAGTAAGTCATTCGGTTCATTTTAATTAATAAAATAATTTTTTTTAAAAATGGAATAAATCAACAATGCTAATAAACATACTCAATCCAGAAAATAAACTTGCTAAATGTGAACAAAGAAATAATTCAAACATACCAACTGGAAATTACTTTTGATTAATTTTCACTTTTTTATTATTTTAATTTGAATTTGTTTATGGTGCAGCCGTCAATATTAAGTGTTGACATAACATACAACATAAAAGTACTAATAACATGCTTAGATTAATTTATTTTGGGACTAAAAAAACTTTTATTACAATATCTTAAAATTGATTAAGAAAACAAATATTTCCTTAAAATAATTTATGTCCAAACATATTACAAAGCAGATTCACGAGTAGTTGGGTTTTATAAGGAAAATTGGAAATATTGGCGGTACCTTCTTTACCAAATAGAGTGATGTAAACGAATTCTGAACCTGATACCAAATAATCTGCAGCAAAATTTATAATAATAAATTAATCATATGAACATAAAATAAAATAAATCTTTAATAGACTTCAAGCATGGATATAGAATTTAAAATGTTTTACTCTCCTTCAGTTGTACTCCTAGAGATACAGTAAAACCGAGTGAAGGAGAATAAATGGTGGGATATATTAATAATACGCTGCAATAATATGTTCACAAACAAGACCAGTAGATAATAAGAATATGGTTATTTGGATCCATATATAGGCTGGATCCAAATATTCTATATTATCTCTAGGGGTTTCCCAATGCTAACATCATTGAATATTTCAAATCTAATGTCTCTTGGTACAATACTTCAAGCAACTCTAAACTCTTCTCTCTCAAATCCATAACCTTTAACAATTTTGAAGTATTAGTCTCGTGTGTCAGATTTGAGTGTGTAAGGTGTCTATTCGGAGATCTCATTGAGAGGAATTTATAGGTGTAATTACTTTCATGACTAGAAGAAAGGATTTGCCGGGAACTGGGTTTTAAGATATTGCAGCTGCAACCTTTCAGTTCAGATCCTTGAAATTATAGCCGATTTTAGGAGGTGAAATCTTTTGGGTTTTGTTCTACTTGTCAAGGCAATTGTTTTGACTGGTTATTTGTCAAGGCAATCCTTTTATCATTAGGACTGACCAGAGGAGTCTCAAGGAAATGATGGGACAGGTGATACAAACACCTGAACAGCAACATTTTTTGGTCAAGTTACTTGGCTTCGACTATACCATTGAGTATTTTCCTGGAGCAAGGAACAAGGTAGCCGATGCTCTTTCAAGGATACCAGAAGGTGAACCACAAACAAAAGGGGTAAACAGCACAACAATGATCATCACCAAGGTGAGTAACAACCTGTTGAATCAAATTAAAGAAGAGGTTTAGAACAAAAAAGCACTAATCCAATTAAAAGAAAAGATTGAGCAAAGGATTGAAGGTTATGAGCATTATAGTTATAGAGAAGGAACGGTGTTTTTCAAAGGCCGCATTGTAATAGCTTCTGACTCAGAACTTCGCATTGCTATACTCCATGAATTTCACTCATCAGTAATGGGAGGTCATGGTGGAGTGAGGAAGACTTTACACCGAGTGCTACCCATGCATTACTGGTCTAAGATGAAGCAGGATGTACAGGAATTTGTGAGGACTTGCCCAGTTTTCCAAGTCACTAAATATCAGCCTCTGTCAACCGCTCGGTTGCTTCAACCACTGCTCATTCCACAAGCGATTTGGGAGGAATTGTCTATGAACTTCATCGTTGGACTTCCAATGTCAGAAGGAAAAACAGTGATCATGGTGGTGGTTGATAGACTATCCAAATATGCCCACTTTATAGCCTTACCCCTGAATTTCACCGCCACGAAGGTGGCCACAGCATTTGTGGAAAACATCTGTCGTTTAAATGGCATTCCACGTTCTATCATTTCAGATAGGGACCGCATCTTTGTGAGCAAGTTCTGGGCTGAGTTGGCTCGGTTGAGTGGCACCAAGCTTTGTTACAGCACAACAAACCACCCAAAAACAGACGGACAAACTGAAGTGACAAACAGAGGATTAGAACAATATATGCGTTGCTATACAATGGAATCACTAAAAGAATGGGTAAAATACTTACCTTGGGCTGAATTTTCTTACAATTCAGCATATCACTCGTTGATAGGAGCATCTCCTTTCCTGGCAGTCTATAGGCGCCTGACTCCTGGGATACAGCCATATGAAGGTACCCCAACGACCGTCGAAGCTGTTGACGTCTTGCTAAATCGCCGCGATGAAATCATTCGTCAGCTGCGAGAGAACTTACACCGAACAAGACAACGTATGAAGGCTCAAGCTGACAAGAAACGCCGAGATATACAATTCAAGGTGGGAGATTTGGTCCTTGTCAAGTTGCAGCTATATTGGCAACGCTCGGTGCGCAACCAATCCTTCTCGAAGCTGCGCCGCCTCTTCTATGGTCCTTTTCCGGTGGTTGAGTGCATGGGTCCGGTGGCGTATCGATTGCAGTCACCTAAGCAATCCCGTATACACTCGGTATTCTATGTGTCGTTGCTTAAACAGTACCGATAAAACCCCACCTTTCACTCCGCTCCACTACCGCCAGTGAGCTGGGACAACCATCCGATCATCAAACCCATCGCTATTCTTCAGACACGAGCCTTACAGTTGGGAAAGGAGGAGACTTTACAACTTTTAGTTCAATGGGAAAGGCTACCATTGGAAGACGCCACTTGGGTTTCCTATTCAGAACTTTGCCAAGCTTTTCCAAGCTTCGATCTTGAGGACAAGATCGTGTCTTTAAGGGGAGGGGGAATTGATACGAACCATGTACATGCGGCTGTTCAAGAAAGACCGAGCGAGATGGGAGAAAGCCAAACCATCAGACAGGGGAAATGAGAGAGAATGAAGAAAAGGCCACAATGGATGGAAGACTTTGTGACCAAAGAAAGTGGCTGAAAGATGTGGTCACCTGATAGTGGGCCGCGTGGATGAAGGCCCAAGTTCCACACAAAGTATCATTG